TGCTCTTGGGCTCCTTCTCTGCGGACCTGGTACCTCTTGTGAAGCGGCAGCTGAGGAGGCTCCAGCGCGCTGGACTGGACTGACCAAAAGCCCAAGGAAGGAGTCAAGACTGAGAACGACGATGGCATGAACTTGAAGGTGGAGGTGGTGCCTTTAAGACAAGCTGATGAGAGCATCTGTGAAGGACAGGATGTGTCGGTGAGGCAGATCAGATTCCCATGTGAAGCGCAGCCAATGAATGAAACAGACACAGCTGCCCAGTTGGAAATGAAGGATGCAGAGACAATTCTTGTGTTCCAGCAGCAGACAGGAGGTGTCTACTAAAAAGGGAACCGCTACTTCAGAACTCTGTTCTTACAAACCCAGAATACATTCTCAATTAGAAAACTGCAATTTGGTTCCACCACTTCCTATTACAGTATGGTTTTTCTCTCTTCTTTCATTTTCCCCTTCCCATTCCTTCATTGTACATAAAGTAACTGGTGTATGTGCACAAGAATATCACATTTTTAAAAAAATGGCCAATGATATGTTTTGATTGACATCAAATGGAGATGGGGTGCGGAAAATACTGGTTCTGTGAAAATATCCCCTTTCTCCATTAGTGGCAGGCTCATTCAGTTCTTATTTGTATATTCCAATAAGTTATTTTGCTCTTACTGTTTTCACACACACACACACACACACACACACACACACACACACAAAATCAACAGCAAAACAAAATAAAACAAAACAAAAAACCAAAAAACAAAACTTGAACAACATAAAAATCCTTGCATACTTTGTTCAATTGGAGAATTTTAAAGTTTTTCATTTATCATTGTAAGACAAAGGACAGTTTTATAACTTTTTTGTACGTAGCTGTTACATGTAGGGCAATATCTCTTTAAATTACTTAAGAAAAAAAGAAAAAAAAAAGATTCCGGGCTGGGATTGTGACTCAGAGGTAGAGCGCTTGCCTAGCATGCATGAGGCACTGGGGGTTTGATCCTCATAAAAAAACAAAATAAAGATCTTGTGTCCACCTATAACTAAAAAATAAACAATAAAGATTCCTAGATTGTTTTCCCTTCAAGTTAAGCATCTTGTGTTTAAATAAACTTCTTGTTTAAAATGATTAACAAAAATTGAGCTTTCTTTTTTGAGAAATTTCTAGAAATCACTTCCCATTTAATTTTCAATATATATTTTTTATACTGGGGATTGAATCCAAGGTGTTTAATCACTGAGTCATCATTCCTAGCCTTTTAAAAAATATATTTTATTTTGAGTCAGGGTCTTGCTACATTGCTTAGGCCTCACTAAGTTGCTGAGGCTGGCTTTGAACTCATGATCCTTCTGCCTCACCCTCATGAGCTGCTGGGATTACAGGCATGTGCTACCACACCTGAACTGAGGCCCTGTTTAATTCTTTTAAGTTCTATGCTACAAAATGTCATTTTCTTTAATTTTTCTTCTTTAACTTGAATAAGTATTTGTACATTTTTTAATGCTATTTTTACTCAAAGCTCGGTCCTTGTCCCTAAAGCCAATCCAGTAACTCGGACACGGTTTTGAGAAACCAGGTTTATTGCTTTGTAGCAAAGGAGAAACACAGGGGACTTCTGTCCCAGCGACTGTGGTTTTGCCCATCAGCAGGAACAGAGTGGCTTTCAAAGAAGAGATTCAAAGGCTATATTCCATGTCTTCTCTGTTGGAGTTGTAAGTCACTTATTAATTTGGGAGATTATAATTTCTGAGGTCTTCTGGTGCCATTCCCAAAGTCTGGATTACTTTTTTCCTGTGGTGATTGTGTACTGAAGGACAGATAAATCTGCCTAGGATGGGGAAGAAAGGTGATTTTCTCTGTTTCCCCTGAGATTATGGAGAGGGAGAGATTAGGGAGAAGCAGAGAGAGAGGAAGAGGAAGAAACATGTCCATTTTAAAAATAGGTTGCAGTGGCAGAGCAGCAAGGGCTATATATATCCAAAGTGGAAAGTAGACCACTGTCACATTTCCCACTGTCAATTTCTACATTCCAGTTCTATGGAAAAATGGGTGAGCCCAGGTTCTCCTTGCTGGTTTTTCTATAGTCCAGACAGCTTTCCTGCGATTTTTTTTTCCCAGCCCTGGCTGGTCCTCAACCCACAAGGAGATGATCCACGTCTGCCGGGGCAGGGCTGAGAAACAGAGCTGGGAGTGCCAGCACTGGGCTTAAAGGATTTAAAACTTTATTTTTTAAAACCCTTTCTTTCTAGTTTCTTACTATCCTTGCACACCTGAGGCAGTGACTTTTTGGCCCCTTCAACTTAGTTTCTGGCTGTTTGGACTACTTATCATGCAACTGCATAAATGCCTGTATAGACAGAATCTCTTTCATATTCTTTACTTCTGAACAGACCAACTTCAACTGCACGATTGTATAATAATCCAGAAAACCATTCAAAGACAGATTGTGTTACAGTAAAACAACCTTTTCTTAGAGAGGTTTATACCTATAGGTGGCCCATTTAGCCAAGATATTTCTGAGTGACTACTGGTAAAATCAATGTGTGGATTAGTGAGGGGGAGAGATTAGGGAGGAACAGAGAGAGGAAGAGAACGAAACATGTCCAAAAATAAGTTGAAAAATAATAATAAGTTGCAGGCTGGGGATGTAGTTTAGTGGTAGAGCGCTTGCCTAGCACATTTGAGGCACTGGGTTTGATCCTCAGCACCACATAAAAATAAACACATAGACCAGGCGAGATGGTGCATGCCTATAATCCCAGTGGCTCAGGAGACTGAGGCAGGAGGCTTACAAGTTCAAACCCAGCCTTGCTGCAGTCCAGCTGCAGCAGAATAACTGGGGGGTGACGAATAACTTCTGTACTTGATACAGTAGGAGTAGGAGCAGTTTATTGTAGGACAACAGAGCTATTTATACATTTTGCACAGCTTATCTTAATTAGCATAAACTAGATACATCATTCAACCAATAAGGAATCTCCACACTTAATGGCTTGTTTTTGTTACTTCTCAAACCACTCCCTCTGGCATTTTGCCAGGCACCCTCCAGACTTGTTTATGAACTCTAACATTTCTCTGGCAAAATACCAGGTGTTATTTTGACTTGTTTACAGACTCTAACACAGCCTCAGCAAAAGTGAGGTGCTAAGCAACTCAGTGAGACCCTAAATAAAATACAAAATGGGGCTGGAGATGTGGCTCAGTGGTTGAGTGCCCCTGAGTTCAATACCTGGTGTCAAAATAAATAAATAAATAAAATGAAGGTATTGTGTCCATCTACAACTAAAAAAAAAAAAAATCTTAAAAAAAGTAAGTTGCAGTGGCAGAGCAGCAAGGACTATATTCAAAGTATAAAGTGGACCACTGTTAAACGATTGTGAACAGAACTTACCTCTTATTTTTGTATTAAAAACTGGTGTTATAGTTTCCAAGAAAATGTTTTATTAAAAAATGGTAATAAGTATTATATATTTATGTTCACAGTTCTGCAGGGTGTCAGAGGTGGTGAGGCTGGACTGGAAAATTGTAATAATGAAATATTCAGTATTTTGCTGTGCTGGGGGAGCCGGACAGCTCGGGTGTCTTGCCCTGGCTGCCACCAGGTCCCCAAAGGTACCTAGTCTCTCAGAGGGGCTGGCCTCTGTGCACTTGTGCGCTATGCTGCACGGTTGCCTCTCCAGGATAAGCCGGCTGGGCATCTGGTACCCCTGTGGAGCCACACGTTGGAACTGCAAGGGTTTGTGGAGAGGGGTTTGGTCCAGTCCGGTCCGGGGGACGGCTTCCAGCCCCCATCAGGAGAGCTCAGAAGGTGCCCCTGACCCCATGGACCACCCCTCCTCCTCCCGCTAAGGCTCTGACTGCCCCAGCTCCAGGCTCTTGGCCTGTGTCTCCGTGCTCTGAAGGAGCGTTAATATGAAGTAATTGGTCTTGTGTCTGGTAGCTAATGATGAAGCAGCAACTGTTTTCATTTGGCATCTCGGTGGCTTTTCACAGCAATCTGTTTTAGCAAATAAGAACAGATTGGGAAAAGGTGAATGAGTTACCAATTTTGCATGGCAAGTGATGGAGGAGTTGGACTGGAAGATATATCTATTGTAGTCCAAATCTCACGTTGCTGCTGCTAGGGTAGATAGCATACCCAAAGTCGGTCAATTCCCTGACATAGATATTTTCCTGACTACCCTTAGGAGTTCCCCACAGAAGAGCTAACAGTATTCTAGAGGACAGCGACCTTACAGAGAGTCAGATTGGGGGTCCTTTATGAAATTTCAATGAAATTATTCAGTCACTGGGCCTGGATCCCATCACCTTGAAACAAAGCAATTCTAGACAGACAAGAGGGAAAGACCTACATGTACTAGAACCCCAGCTATAAGAAAACAGGAGACCTCAGACCTCTCTCTACAAATTCAAAACAGAAGTGGAAGGAATCTCTCCCCTACCCCGATAGATTCTAGGTTTGCAAGGACAAAAGCAATGTTCAATCCCCCCTGTGCTAAATACTTAGCATGACTTGAGACCCATCTGATGCCATATGGCTTTGTGACAGGTGGAATGACCAAGCTAGTTTCTGCAGAGAGGTGTGCTGTGCCAGAACTGTGAATGAGGGACAGATTGTGCAGGAAATGTCTCTTACCTGCGGTTGCTTGCTCAGAGGTAAGGGATCCTTCACTAGAACTGAGGAAGTTTAAACCTCTCCAGTCCACAATTTCCTTTGTCTTCTGCTCACAGATTTCAGATAACTGAGTGTACATGTATTTAGCATATGGATATTTTTATTCCCTTTTTATTATGTTCTTAGAGTTACAAAATAATAGTGCATGTGGACTATACAAAGTTTATCTATTTTGCCTAATTTTAAAGATAAAACTTGGGCCAGTGCAGTGGGCTCCTGTAATACCAGTGACTCAGGAAGCTAAGACAGGAGGATCATAAATTTTGAGGCCAGCCTCAATCAAACTGTCAGCCTGAGTAACTTGGTGAGACTCTGTCTCAAAACAAAAAATAAAAAGGGGCAGGGAGGATGTAGCTCAGTGGTAAAGTGCCCCTTTGTTAAATCCCCAGTTTAAAAAAAAGGAAAGAAAAGTTAAAACTTGGACTCTGAGAGGTGTAAATTAATTGTTATAGACCATTCCTTTGTAACTGATCAAGGCAAGAGATTTTTGGTTTCTGCATACTTTTGCACAGTTAAAACAATTCTTTTTAAACCAAAAAATTTTGAAGTTGAAATCAAATTAGTATTACTGTTTTTTAAAAATTGAACACTAAAGATTCATTCTTTTTTTTGTTAATTAAAATTACTTTATTGAGGTACAATTTCCATACCATAACATTCACCTATTTAACAACTTAAAATATAGATCTCAATGACTTTTTAATTGTAGTCCTGTTCTATAATATTTCCATCACTGTAAAGAGATCCTTCATGTCCACTTGCAGTCAGTCCCCAACCCCACACCCATTCTCTACTGATGTCTTTGACACATTTTGGCTTAATTATTAGGTATGGTATAAGTGTCTAAATTCATTTTCTTATGTGAGGCTATTCAGTTGTTCTGAAAAGAGTATCTTTCCCCATTGGTACCTTTATTGAAAATCACTTGACCATAAATATAAAGATTTATCTCTGGACTTGAATGATCTATATGTATGTCCTTATGGCAGTACCACACCACCTTGAGTTTTGTTATTTTAAAAATGATAATGTGAAATTTAATCTGTCAGACATACAAGTTGAATCTTTCTCCTGGGTGCTGCAGAGTAAAATGAAGTTTCTTGAAATGATTGATGAGTAGGGTTAAAAACGGGCACTTGGGCTCATTGGTAGAGGGCTTCATGCCTAGCGTGCATGAATCCCTGGGTTTGATCCCCAGCAACACAACAACACACATACACCCCCCCCACACACACACACATACATACACACACAAACACACACACAATGCTGGCCCTAGCAAGGAAATGAGACAGGAAAGGGTAGAGAGATGGGGGCACTCAGTCAGAGTGCCCCCAGAGTGTCTGGGAATGA